GTGCGATCATAGGCAAAAAATACATTTTCAGTTGCATTTGAGATAGTATGAACTTTTTTTCGTTCGTCTTTGCTGGGAAAAATCGAAAAATTTTTTTCGAAGGGGGGTGCGATCGCTTCGTCGCACCCCGCCCCCCCTTCTTCTAAAATTCTGGATCCGCCACTGAATGAGGCTAAAAATGGAAGGCCATAAGGAGATAAGGCTTTAAAGGAAGAAGGCTATTGAGGAGTAAGACTATAAAGAGATAAGTTCAAAAGGCAGTAAGACAACAAGAGGATACGGTTATAAGGGATAACGCTATAAGGGGATAACGCTATAAGAAAGTAAGACTATAATGGAGTAAAGCTGTAAGTGAGTAAGGCTATAAAAAGGTAAGACTTTAAGGAAGAAAGTCAATAAGGAGATAAGGATATTAAGCGGTAAGGCAATAAAAGGATAAGACTATAAAAGAGGCATGCTATAAGAGGGTTAGGCTATAAGCACGTAAGGCTAGAAGAGCTACAAGAAATGTAAGGTCGTAAGGCTACATGGGGTATTGGCGATATAAGCATATAATGCCGTCCGACTTCTATGTAGATAATGTCGAGTGTCTCTATGTCTGTTAGTGAGTGAAAGGTTAAAATTTTGATGTCATAGAATAAAGAAAAAACGCTGCCGTGTAGTATGTACGGAATCTCGCTAGTTTTCATTATAATTGATCAAGATCGATTTATATATTTTCAATAATAATTATTTATTTATTTATTTATTTATATAATATATTTTCAAACAATTTATTATTCTATAATATTATATAAATGGAAGTGAGCAAAAATTCTCTTCTTAGTTTATTTTCTTTTTTCTTTTTTCTTTTTTTTTTTTTTTTCAAAACTATAATCGACATATTGATGTTACATATATTAAGCATAAAAAGAAAAGAAAATGTCGAGTAAAACATTAAATATAATAAAACAGGATTAAAAAGAATTAAATAACAAAGAAAATCTACGATAAAATTTCATAAAAACAAAGATAAACACAAAATAAAATGAGTGAGATAATCAAAATCTGATACTTGTGCAATGGATTGTGTAGTTTATAAGACGTCTTTGATGTCCGGACAACACTCACCTTTATTCGATTATCTCAACTCAAATATATTCGTGTATAAATGACTGATACAAAAACAAAAAAAAAAAAAAAAAAAAAAAAGAAAAAAATCAAAAAGAAAAGAAAAAGAAAAGCTCACAATATATTGTCTATTGTTCAACTATAGTTTTCTAAAAAGCAGCTGGCATATAACCATAAGGACCAGCAAATGCAGCAGCTGTTGCTGGATCATAAAAATTCGGCTGTTGATAAGGAGCAAAAGCACCTTGTTGTTGAAAAGCAACATTATTTGGATCAAAATATGGTGTTGCTCCTTGTTGTCCAGCAAAACCATAAAATTGTTGACCTTGACCTGGCAATAATCCAACTTGTTGAGCAGTACTTAATGGCATTTGAATTGGTGGAAGAATACCAGCAAATTGTAGACCACCACCATTTTGTCCTTGCATATATTGTTGCATTTGTAACATAGCTGCTGCTTGAGCTTGCATTGCAGCAGATGATTGTGGTGGTAATAACATAGCTTGTTGCATTGGATCACCACCATATAGACTTTTACTTGGACCACCATATTTACCATATTTACTCATTTTACCTTGAGGAGCAACTTGTCCATAACCATCAAAATAAGGAGCACCACTTGAAAAATATGGAGATGGTGGAGCAGCTATTAATGCTGGTGGACCATATCCAGGTCGAGCACCTTTTGATGATGAATGATATTCATATTTATCTACCTTTTCACATTTTTCACGTTTGTTTCCAAATAGACCCATATTGTAAGTATTTTATAAATATTCAAGATAAAAAAAAAATGAAAAATGAAAAATGAAAAATGAAAGATGAAAGACAAGTGTGTATATATGTGACTGTCGTCAAATATGAATGAAAGCGAACTGATAAAATAAAATATCTATCTATACTCATTTTTGACCCATTGAACGGGCAAAGTCACGCTTCAATAAATACATTTCGTTTAACAAATAAGAATAATAGAAGAGGAGAGAAAAAAAAAATGTTAAACAACCAATCGATTTTATATTAAATGAAAGAAAGAAAGAAAAAGAAAAGAAAAAGAAAAGCTCACAATATATTGTCTATTGTTCAACTATAGTTTTCTAAAAAGCAGCTGGCATATAACCATAAGGACCAGCAAATGCAGCAGCTGTTGCTGGATCATAAAAATTCGGCTGTTGATAAGGAGCAAAAGCACCTTGTTGTTGAAAAGCAACATTATTTGGATCNTGTGATTTTCTCGGGATTAAAGTTGAAAAATATGATCAGGGTTGAATGCTTATTAAAGTCTGATAGAAATAAATGAGTTTTGATGGGGGCCGCAAAATGGCCTTATCCGCCCTTGTCCTTTCTTACATCATTAACTATGGCAATTGATCGATTTCATGTTAAAAATCCCAAAAGAGCAATGTGCGAAACAATAATGAGGCCTGATCATGAATGTCATAAGGACATGTACGCTTCTGTTAATACACAAGTTGCCGAACAAGGTTTTGCTTATTTGTCTAAATTCAAAAAATCGTTCAGAGGATACAATTATCCAAAATCGACGACATTTTTCACAATTCTTTTTCACTTAAAAAACTGTGCAATGACTGGTATTAGTTCATTTGAACAATCAGTATAAAAACTTGTTCAATGTATACTTCTTTCTCATTAAACTTTTCTTATCACGATTTTCTTATTTCGTCTACTTCATATCCGTTCTAGTGAGCTTTAATTTCGTCATAAAAGTGCCATACGAGAACCTTCAACAAATGTTGCCTTTAAAATTTTTCCGTATTCTTCGAATCTGATAAATGAAACGGCAGTAATGACAGAAAACTAATATCCAGTTATAGTTTGTAGGAGGACGACAGTATATATCTGATGTCTGCTTATCTGGTATGTTTGCACATGGATAACAGTAAATATCTGATATCTTCTTTCTGATAATTATTTTAACATTGTAGGTACTATATGATGTTTCATCTGTTATATTTGAGTAACAATTTTCAAATTTAGTATTGAAAGTAAATATCTGATATCTGCTTTCTGATGAAATTTATGAGTCGTATATCAGAGTAAATATCACGTAGGTGAAGTTAGCCTCATATTCGAGTAATTCCAGCCGATATTCGTTCAGCAAGGTCCAGCAACTGTTCCAAAGAGTTTCAGAGTAGAACTTGATGAGCTCTATCGATTGGTAATCTTGGATTTTTATATCTCACACCATTCGTGAAAAACTCCTAAAATACTCATTTGCTACCATATGACTCCTGTCATATGGTTAGTAAAATCAGCCGATATTCGTTCAGGAAGATTCTGTAACTGTTCCAAAGAGTTCCAAAGTAGAATTTGATGAGCTCTATCGATTGGTAATCTTGGATTTTCCATATCTCATACCATTCGTGAAAGAAAGCCAAAATACTCATTTGTTACCATATGACTCGTGTCACATGGTTATTAAAATCAGCCGATATTCGTCTAGGAGGTTCTTATAGCTGTTCCAAGGAGTTCCAAAGTAGAATTTGATGAGCTCTATCGATTGGTAATCTTGGATTTTCCATAGCTCAAACTATGTCTCCAAAAATTCCAGAGGACCGATTCAACCCTGTATACATATTGTAAAATTAGCAAAGATTCGTTCAGAGACATGTGCTAGATGTTCAATTTGGATTTCAAGCACAACTTGATGAGCTCTATCCACTGGTATTATTAGATTTCCCATAGCCCAAACTATAGTCGTAAAAATCCGAAAGTACTGATATTTCACTACAGAAAATAGAACAACAGTAAAGTAAAAGTACGAGCGATTCACCCAGGAACATGTTCTAAGTGTTCCATTCTTGTTCCAAGTGTAACTGGATGAGCTCTATTCGACGATGTTATCATAATTTCTGTAGTCAAAGTATGTCTTTAAAAATTTCGAAATGGTAGTAATCTGACTTCAAATTTATTCATACATGAGAATGCTCATGGAATATTTAGGTAATAAGTTAAAAGCGTGCTTTTTTGATTTATTGCAAGCATTCATGCTGATAACTTATGTTGCGGTTAAGCTTGGCGATCGTGTTCAGGAGTGAATGAATGACTTTTCTGTTGTCAAAGAGCGACTATTCGTTAGTGGTTTTTTTATTCATCTTTGATGCAATGAATCATTTCGAATATGATCGTACATTCTGCTTGAGCTGTGAAGATAGCATAAGATGCATCAACTCAAGTGATTACACTTGTATTTTTTGCACCGATATAGCAAAACATGATGTCGTTCTTGTTGTGAAACTGATTATGTGAATTGAATGCACGTGTCAGGTCGGTATTGAATTTGTTAAATGATTTTGTGGCAATAAGAATACGTTTTATTAATTATTAACAAACTTGAATCTGTTTTGATCATGTTTAATGATCAGTATCTTTCTTTCACAAGGCCACAACTAAACTACAATGAAAATTCTCAAAGGAAATTGAGGGATTTCAAAAATGTGTTACTGTAAAGAACATTGGATAATGACTTTCTACGAATTATGATATGCTTTCATAGAGTATTTTTGACCCTTTGTGCTCGAATTGTGTTTATTTATTATTCTCAAAAGTAAATCAACTATTCTCTTTGGAGTATAATTGATACTCAATGATGAGTCGAAAACATTCGCTGATCTAAAATTCATTTTTGTTAATCATCAACTCAAATGACAACAACTATTTCCCGTAGCTTTTACGCGATATGAATTTCCAAGAAGATCAACGTGATTTTTCTATTAGTTTTAAATTGATAACAAAAGATTTGTGACAACCATTGCCCAATAGTTAAAAAAGAATGAACATCAATGTCAAATCACAACAGCCAACATCAATGGACACAAACCGACGAAAATTGATTCGAGAAACAAAATGATATCTGATCATTTCAATGAATAATGGTCATAAAGATCACAAGACATGAAGTATATATATTTCAATCTATTTGATGATGCTCATCACAAATCGAACAATAGACTTTGAATACAATTTATTTAGAGGCTTTTCTCTCATTGTTTAAGCAATTTAATCTTGAATAAATGTATTTGCGAGAGATTTGTTATTTTTCAGAACATGGTATCTTATCATTATTCATAAGATACAATGATATCACTCGATCAATAATTTTTGGAAAATATTCTTGACATATAATGTCAAAATAAGAGTTGCTGTCAAGTCGAAAATGTATGAGAAGAATGTTGTCAAAACGAAGATTGGGTTCAGAAAAAGCAAAAACAAACTTAAAAGCGTGCAAATATTCAAATTAATAAGTAGCTTGTTGGTTTATATTTCGAAGGAATTTTTGTATTTTTTTTTATATATGAGAGAATTATATTAGCAATTCTTTTTCTTGTTAATTGAAAAGAAAAAATTAATGTCCATATACGACAAAATAAAATATATAGCATAAACAAATAAATAACTACCACCATAAATATATATCAGAGTTAATAAATTCAATAAAATAATCGTTACATAAATTCTGAAATTTAATTAACATATCTAATTCTCGTAAATACATTTTAGGTATTTGTTTAATACATAAAAAGAACAATTGACTTGTTTTCATATTAATTTTTTATAATAAAAATGTTAAAATTTGTTTAATTTCTTTTTTATTCATTCCAGTTTGAATATATTGTAATTGAGAAAATAAACTAACTAGCATTTTAATTTCTTCTAATGTACATGTTTCACGAATATCTAAACGTTCGATTTTGTTTACATTTGATACATGAAAACATCCTTGATTTTGTTGAATTGATGTTGCCGTATTTTTGCAAAAACATATCGAATCATATTTTAATGTATATACATTAGATGTACAACGTAATAAATCAATTAATTCTTCGAAATAAAATCGTAAGGTTCAACAACTAATTTAGTAATTTGTTTTAATGTAACAATTCGGCTAAGAGTTTTTGATACTGGATCAACAGATGTTTGAAAAGAATTTGCAATAGTTAATTCAGTGACATTCGGAAAATAAAGTATACAAGTATCTGATATTGCATTACTACAAATATGAAGATGTTTAACGGAGTTTAAATTATTTTCTTGAATATATGAACAAACTTGTTCATCTAATTCTCAATAAAATGTATAGTCTCTTCTTCTAGAAAAAAAAAAGAATAGAAAGTAGTGGCGTAACCAGATGGGGGCTAGAGGGGGCTCAGCCCCCTCTACGGAGGCTTGAGCCCCTCTACAAGTTTTTTAAAATTTGTTATGATCAAAAAAGTAATTATTTAAAGAATGAAGAATTGTGTATTTGACTTTTTCATGATCGAATATAGAAAGGTAGTGAATGACTCCTTTTTCTTGGAACAGTTTGATACTTTCCACGAAGAAGCACGTAATAATTAGTG